CTGGAGCAAGGAACTGTGCAAAGGAGAGTGGGCTTTGGGGACAAACCAGTGTGGACATGAGTCCTACCTTCTCAATCTAATGTGTCTTCTCAGAGCAACCAGTGTACCAAGTCTTCCTGTACACAGTAGGAACTCCCTAAGTGAGGCCAAACTCTGCAGAGGTCAGAGACCTAGGAGGGGCTCCCCAGAACTGCAGGTACCCAGGAGAGTTCAGACAGGTCTACAGATCAGGGAGGCTGTAATACCCACAAAGGTATGTAAACAGGTCTTATCCCACACACCCTTGGCCTTCTGTCTCTTTCAGGTGCCCAGATAGATGACAACAATCCAAGGCGTACAGGCCATCGCATCGTGGCACCCCCTGGTGGCCGTTCCAACATCACCAGCCTCGGTTGACCTCAGATGAGCCAGATATGCAAGAGTGAAGGATTCCGGGAAAAATGTCCATTCCTTTTCCTGTCTGTGTTTTTGAAGCCCACAGTTTTAGTTGGTACTGATGGAGGGGAGATTGAGTGATGCTCTTTCCTTCTCTGTTTAGGAAGAAGTGGTACTAGTGTGGTGTGTTTGCCTGGAAGTTCCTTGCCCACAGTGTGTGTTCACACCGACTCCACCTCAGAGCATGGTGTCTCCATTTTCCCTTCCTAGTGATCCCCAGGTGTAGCATTGTCCTATACCACTCCCTCCACTCCTCCACGACCCTCTGAGTGATGGTTCCTTTGCACCCTGTAGCTGTTCTAGGATAGGATGCATGTTAGTAAGTTACGTATGCAAGTCTGAGCGCGGCTGATGGACATCGCCGAGGACCGACATAGACACGATGCCAAGATCTTTGCCCCCAGGGGAGACTCCCAAACTCTTAAAAATGAAGGCTCTACCCTGAGAGTCTTCACTAGAAAGATGTCGTCCCCATCCCCACCCTGACTGAGACCTGTGAATATGCAGAATGGCAGGGAAGCCTTCCACTTGGTCATAGAGCTCCATCACCCACGTCCTGTGTCAACAACCCGGTCCCTGTATCTGGCCATGGTGTCTTTCTGGTCTGTGTGTTCTTCTAGCCAGCCTTGGGCTTTGGGCCCAGCCAGGCTTACACCCAGAACAGGGTGTCCTGACACCTCCCTCAGGCCTGAGGATGGTGGGGTAACAGCTCTGCCCAGGCTGCCCGAGTCCCTGTCCCTCCAAGGAGGTCAGTGGGGCAGTCAGATTTTTAAAGTTTTGTACAGTTTTCCTTTGTATTCACTTCCATTTTTACTTAATAACTGACTTGTTGGTGGCTCTTATTTCTGAATTCAAAGCTTGTGAAAAAAATAAAGAAATTAAATTGCCCGTTGACCCGAGTGAGTGTTTTCATTTGGTTGGCTCAAATGCCTTGTACTACTCCTGATTCTGTGACACTGGGGATGACAGATGGGAGGGAGCAGTCAGTACATTCCTTGGGAAGAGATAGGTCAAGACCCTGTGTTAGTATTCAGGCATCTGTACTGGTCTGTCCTTGGGTTCTGACAGGATACACCCTCAGCTGCAGCCACTAAGAGCACCACCTGTGCATATTCACTATGCTCCCTTTTTAAAGGGCCCTGCCCACCTCCCATCCTTTCCTCTGTCTCTCTGTCTCTTTCTCTCTCCCTCTCTCTGCCCCTTCTTCCTTTTTCCTGCTGCTCCTGTCTCTGGAGGCCACTCTCTCCCTCCCCCCCTTTTTTTACAATCCTTTCCCCCTAATTAAAAACCTCTCTGCTTGAACTCTGATGCATGGTGTCTTTCTCTCTTGAGCTGGTTTTCTTAAATTACAACACCCTGGATCCATAGGTGGGCTTCTGGGCTATGCATTGATACAGCTCAGCTCACAGCTGGGTCTTCGTAGGAACTGGGCCACTGAGGACAAAAGTGCACAGTGACTCTCCATGTTGCTCTCTAGAGCAGAGGGCAGGGAGAATGCTGTGCATTTCTGTAAGGATCCACACTTCTCTCAACCAAGTCAGCATGTGATTAAAGAACAAGAGGATCCCCAAGTGAAGGGCACCCTTGCAAACTGAGGTGGCAATCTTCCTCTACAGTTAGTTCCACAGTGGCCCTGTAGGAAAGGATATGGGACCAGACCAACTTGACTTCCAGGGAAAGATCCTTATTCAAGTGGCTGTTCCTATGAGGGAGAAGCATTGCAGGACTCTGTGAGAGCCCAGGGCCTATTTTGGGTTCTCTGTGGATCTCCTGGGCACTCAAACAGCCTTTTCTTCTTCATGCCCAGCTACTGATTTCAAAGTCTGTCAGCCAGGGCTCAAGGTCTGTTGGGCAGCTTGGGTCCCAGCCTAATTGTATAAGGGTCATCTTGCAGGGACACAAGCCCCACACTGGGTAGGAGGTTCTGTTCCCACCACACTTCTGTGTTTGGGGATGTGTATCAGCTCCATAGAAAGCTGGAATCTGACCACCCTCTGCCTCCTGAGGATCTGTGGTCTCCTATCATGACTTGGGAATGAAATCATGTGGGCAGGTATCTCTTAGGCCAGCCATACTTGTCTTTAGTGTTCCTGACTCCCTTCTGAGCTGCTTTCCCCTGCATGTGGTCTCCAGAATGCAGGAGAGGTTCTGATTTTAAAGGCATGAAGGGGTCATGGAGAGGAGTTGAGGCTTGGCAACATGTGACTGGGTTAGAGAGGCTATTGATGAAGATGCAGTCCAGATACAGAGGAGACTCTGGCATTTTGGAGATGCCAATACCATGGGGCAACCACCAAGGACAGTAGCATGTGGAGTGGAGTCTGCCTGAATCTAGGAGTCCAGCATGTGTGCTATGGTTGGCAGAGCCAGTGAAGTGGAGCTGTCCAGCCTCTTCGGAGTCCACAGGATTGTGAGTGAGTTCCAGACATCTGGTGCTGAACTGTTTACATTGTTGAACTTTGGTTTGCTTTGTTCTGATTGTGACTATGCTCTGGCTCTTCCCTTTTGGAGTAAGGAGGTATTAAACTTGGGTTTTTTTTTTGAGCATTTCTTTCTTTTTCTTTTTTAAAAACAGGTTTTTTTTAAAGAAATGTTGGAGTTTTAGAGACTTTGGAGATTCTAAAGATTTTTAATTAATTAATCAATTTTATATCCTGACCACAGCCTCCCCTCCCTCCTCTCCTCCCACTCCCTTTGCCCACCTCACCTGCCTCCCTCAATCCAACCCTCTTCTGTATTCACTCAGAAAGGGGCAGGCCTCCCCTGGGCATCAGCAAAGCATGGCATGTCAAGCTGCCATAAGACCAAGCACCTCCCCCTGTATTCAGGTTGGGCAAGGCAATCCAGCATGAGCAATAGGTTCCCAAAAGCCAGCCAAAGCACCAGGGACAGCTCCTGATCCCATTGCCAGGAGTTCCACAAATCGACAAAGCTACTCAACTGTCACATATATGCAGAGGTCTTGGTTGGCCTAGTCCCATGAAGACTCCCTGGTTGTCGGTTCAGACTCTGAGTTACCATGAGCCAGGCCAGACATTTTTGTGGGTTTTCCTACGATGTCCTTTTTGCCCCTGGCTCCCTCCTCTCCTCAGCAGGACTTTGGATATTTTAAAGAGACTAAGCTTTTCAAGTGAATTTTAAGGATGGGGGACTTTTGAAAAAAAGGTATGCTGTTTTATATTGTGATACCAATATTAGCATGCCATCTTGTGTACAAATGAGAAAGAAAAGGTTGCAGTTGAGTAGTGGTGTGTTTGTGTGCCAACTTGACAAGGGATCGGTTGTGCTGGCTAGTTGTGTTTGTTTTCCAATATGGATACTAGCTGGAGTCATCCAAGAAGAGGGGATCTTAATTAAGAAATGCCTTCATAATACTGGACCATAGGTAAACCTGCAGGGCATTTCTTGGTGATTGATGTGGAAGGCCCAACTTAGTGTAGGGGGGGGGGCACCCCTTAGCAGGTGGTCCTGAATGTTACTTAAAAAGCAGGCTGATCAAGCCGTGAGGAGCAAACCAGTAAACAAAAAGCCAGTTAAATATTCCTGCAAGGCCTCTGCTTCAGTTCTTGTCTCCAGGTTCCTGCCTTGAGTTTCTGCTCCAGGGATGGACTGTGACACAGAAGTGCAAGCTGAAATAAACCCTTTCTTTGCCAGGTTGCTTTTGGTCTAGATGTTTCATCACACAATAGGAAACCTAAGAAACTCTGGTTCCCTGGTCAGTCTTGGTGCTGGAGGAGATGAGGGACATGTTTTGCACTTGCCACATTTACACTATTAAGCCAGAGGACATAGGTGACAATGGTGACCCCTATGCAAGCAGTTTTCTAGAATTCTGCATGAAGGAAACCAGAGCTTTTCCATATTCCTCAGGTGACATGCTTCACTAGAGCCACCAGAGGGCACTGTGGACTCATGCTGAAAACATTCTGGGCAGGTTGGAAGATGTGGTCGATCTAGTTGAAGCTCATGATTATAGGGTATGTGTCTCAGTGCTTGGCTTCTAAGCATGGGGATCTGCTGGCCAGGTAGTCTCTCCTAACTGGTGAGTTCCAGGCCAATGAGAAGCCTGCCCCTCTAACATGGATAGAATTAGAGGAACCATTTTGGAGGTTGTCCTCTGGCCTCCAAATGTACACACACACACACACACACACACACACACACACACACACCAGCTCTAGCATTTACAATGTAACACACACACACACACACACACACACACACACGTGCAGAGGGCATGGCTGCTTTCCATGAGGGCCACCTTTCTAACTAGCCTGTTCTAGTCTATACTTTAAGAACCTAAAATTCCCCCAAAGTCCAGAAGATTCCCGAGAGGAACTACTGAGTCACAGAAGCCAATATGTTCTAGAAATTCGTGGTAATATGGGGCTTTGCAGTGCTGGGCTTGCAAGGAGGCACACATTGACATATCACAGAGAAACACCAGAGATGAATAGTTGTGTCCAGTCGACATCTAATGGGTAGAGCCCAGTGTTGCTGCCCGTTGTCCTGCAATGCACAGGAAAGCCGGGGTCTCCACAGTCCTGAAAGAGCAAGAACAACTCCTGGGTTTGAGGTGTTTATTCAGAATGAGCTTGGGATGGCTCATGTGCAAGGAGGTTAAGGCAAGGGAAGCTGGGAATGGAAGAAAAGAAGAAGGAAGGTAGGATGCTGTGTCACCCCAGTCTTCAGGCAGAAACTCTCCCGGTTTCAGGCACACCAGTTTCCTAGGGAGGTGACTGAAGCAGTGTTTCCACTGAGTGGCAGTTCTCATCTCTAATGTACAGTGTGTGCCATTCAGAACCTCCTAGCTATACATGGGTCTGAGTCTGACATGAGAGACTCCATCTTCGGCATCACACACAAAGAGTGATCATACCCAAAATATTGACAGCAATGATTGGGAATCCCTGATGCTGATGGGAGAGGTTGCCCCTGAGTGGGAAAGGCCTCTGGCCTGTGGGGCAAGTGGGTCTGGTTTGGAAGCTTATGGAAGTCCTAACCATCCCTCAGGAGGAGCAGATGACCTGTGGGCCTCTCCTCATGGAAGGAACTGCTGGCTGGTAGGTTTACCCTCCTCAGTGAAACCCAAGGGTAGAGAAAGCCTCCTTCTTGCCCTCCATGCCCAAGGAGGAGATCTTGTGGCACATGGCAGGCACAGGTGGTTCCCCAAGATCCAAGTGGTTTAGAACAGGCCTGTGGGTTTGGAACTCCATGGCTATACCAAGGACACTGGCTCTGAAGCTCAGACATCCTTGAGTGATGAGGTACCAGGGCTACCTGAGCCCAAAGAGAAATACTAAGGCCAAAAGTTGGTACTGGTTGGGATCCTGGCAGCCAATGCCAGGATATGACTGTGGAGCAAAGGAGGTGAGACAGTGGCATCAGGCTCAGAAAACACCAGTGATGCTGAGACCCTGTCAGGCAGGACTTCATGGAGATGCTGGGAATCAGGGGCCACTGGGCAGCACTGGAACTCTGTGAGGCTGGAGGGCCCTCCTGAGGGAGGAAGTGATCAGGAAAAGTGTACCATGGCAGAAGATGAGATTTTCCAAGGCATGCCATCCCTCCAGTCATCCCAGGCAGTTGGTGCTACTGTCATGTCATTTCACTTTGTAAGGCAGATGGCATCCCCTCTCCCAAGACTGGCCTCCTGCTTCTGCCCCTAAACCACACAGCTGCAGCCATGGATGCAGTAAGGTGCATGTCAGGTCCATCTCAGCAGGTTTCCAGCTACAGATTGCTTCTTTTCTGCAGCATATTCCTTGAGTTCTCTCCATCACCAGCTTCGCTGTCCTGCTGACCCAGCCTTCTGCTGCTGTGGACATGGATGGGAGGTGATGAATGTTGCACTATGGATGCAGGACCATCCACCTGGAAGAAGTGAAACTTCCGGATGGATGTGATATGTAAACACCAGGCAGAAGACACCCAGCACCAGAGGAGAAGGAGACACTGGTTCAGTTGATCCAGTAGCCCCAGAGCTGATCCACACCTGAAAGTTCCCAGCAATGTAGGCAACTCCTGTTGTGGTCCCTCCCTGCCCACCATTCTCAAATTACATTCCCAGCATTTCTGGGCCTCCACAGGAGCACCTTGAGAAGGGTCATTCCCAGACTTCAGACACTTGATAGAAAGAAAGACAGGAAGAAGGCAGTGGGCTGGGACCCTTCACACCTGAGTGGTCCTGTGGCATGGTCTGTCAAGGCAGGGTGATCATTGTTGGGTGGCCCCAGGTCCTCTCTCTCCTGAGGCAGGGGCTTCTTTCTTTTGGTCCTTACTGGCTTCTCTGCAGAAGACAGACAGGCCCAGGATGACTATGTGATTTTAGATGGCGCTTCCTGCCTCCATGGTTTAAAAGCAACCTTGGTGGGCAGGTGGGCTTTGTTACCACCTTAGCCACATCACTACTAAGCAAACTGAACACCATGAAGTGAAGTGTTTCCCACGCCCCATAGCCTCTAGAGCTGGGACAGAACTGGGTGCACCAGTCTTTGTTTCTGCTTTACCCACAGCATGTAGGATGCAGGAAACAGGAGAGGTAGAGGGCAGAATGCAGGTACTGGCCAGAGCGTGTATGTGCAATACCTGTGAATCACTTCCAGCACCAAATGATATCAGCTTATGATGTTCCTAACATATCTCTGGCAGGGGAAGAGGTGTCATTTCCTCATTTTACAGAAGGGAAAGAAGAGATGAGAATAAGATGAGGCCAGAGAGTAGTAGAGCCAGGAACTGGCATGGTGGGATGCTAGAGAGCCAGGGTCTCTGTGATGTTCTGAGTCTGCTCAGTTACAGAGAGTAGGAAAGCCTAGAGAAGCTGTGCAGGACACCCAAGGCTACACAAGAGTGGATTGGTATCTACTCTTCTAAGCTTGATGGCTGTGGACTGACATCCACTCTTCTAAGTTCTGAGCCCCCAGCCCTACTGCAGCACCACAGTGCAGAAACTTACCTGGAAGTCCTCGCTTGTTGGAGAATGGCTTGTTTTCAGTAAGAGGCACTCGGGCCAATGTTGCCAGCTCTGAGATAAAGGTTTGCTCAGCTTCCTGATAGACAAATGGAAGAGGGTCAGCATGCCTCTCTGACCCTTGCCTCTGAGTTCCCCACCACTGAGTTCAAGCCTTACACTGTGGAGGAAGGCTGGTGACTACAATCCCATATCCCAGTGTGAAAGAAGACTTTCCAAGTAGCACCCCAAGAGGTCAGGACCGGGACAGAGGCATGGAGAAGGATGCTCCTCTAGACAGCTGGGTCCTCTCTCCTGTCTCATAGCCCTGTCCACAAACAAGGACACTTTGGGGGCTCAGCCATTGCTAAGCACCAGCTCTGCTCCACTCCAATGTACAGCTGCCAGAAGACCCAGAAGCCATGATTTCCTAGCCTCAGACTCCTTATCTGTAGTAAGGATCATAGCAGCCACCACCTTAGTTGCTCTGAGAGGGTGTTGAGAGCTCTCAAACCAACTACCATCTGCAGCAGACCCCTGGGAACAAAAGCGCACCATTAACAGGGTTCTTATGATTGCTGTCATTACTCCCACCCCTGGCCTGATGGACACGGAAAAGGCCAAATCACCATCACATGCCTTCATTCTGAAATTTTGATTTTTCTTTTAAATTGTATTTATTTTTCTGTTTGTAATAATGGAGTAGTAGTGTGTGTGCATGTGTGTCACAGTGCACACATGGAGGTCACAGGACAGCTGACTTCTGGAAGTCAGCTCTCTCCCTCCACCATGTGTTCTGGGGATGGAGTGCAGGTCCAGGCTTGAGCAGCAAGCTCTTTTTACCTGCTGAGCCATCCAGTCATGCTTTGATTTTGTTTTAAGGCTTCCTGCCATCCCCTGATATTTTTAAGGCAGATACTTTGGGGTACAGTCATACCTCATAATCCTCGAGGCTGGGACATTTCTGTGTGTGTGCTTAACTCTCCACTTTATACCCTGAGAACCGAGCCTCCCTGCATTCTCTACCTGCAGTGTGAGCCTTAGTTACTGTCAGCACTGTCCTAGAGGTAGAGATGGCAGCTCCAACACCCCGGAGCCTGTTGGTGGTGGTCTGTATACATTCCTTTATTACTTCCAAAGCTATGGGCAGATGCTCAGCTGTGCCCTGCATACACCAGGGCCATGTGGGAACTACTATCCCCAAGAGGCTCATGCTCCCTTCAGGAAGACACACTATGTTGGCCAATGGAACTCAGAGAGCCAAAGATGCCACAGACAGAGAGAGGTTCAGAGGTGAAGGTCTGGAGTGGAACACAGTTTTTTTTTTTTTTTTCCTGAGAAGCTGGCTGTAAGCTCGGGTATGGCCTCTTCCTTGTATACTATGCCACTGCCTCTAGTGACACATCTCCCAAACTACCTGCAGCTGGGTCTCAAGCTGGGCTTCAAGCTGGTTGAGCTCTTGAGCCTTCTGCTTTTGAGAGTTCAGGCGGCCCTGCTGGTGCTGTGTGAACTGATCCAGGAACTTCTTCTGCTGTGACAGCATCCTGGTGGCATGAAGGGATGGTCAACATTGTTGGAATCCTAGGCAAGTAGGTCCCTACAAAACCCTTCTAAAAGACATGCTACACCATGGACTTGTGAACCTTCATTGCACTTGTGCCCTGGAGTCTGGAGAAGAGCCGGGACATGTGTGACTTACTGCAGTCGTGTTTTCCCAACAGTCCAGCTCTGACCCCAAGGCTGCATATCCATAAAGCATGGGGAAGGCTAAGCAATCCTGCATGCACACTGAACTTAGGTTCCTAGGAAAGCTTGGGGACATCAGCAGGACAGAAGCAAAGTCAGGACATTGCTAGGTGGGGACTTAGAGATGCATGCTGGCATCTTCTCATGAGCAGACACTCTTACCTAAGGAGAGAGGTTCCCACGAAAGACCAGAGGTCTTCCAGGACCACCAAGGAAGCTCATTTCCTGGGGACAGTGTCTAAGAAAATTCTAATAAACCTTAATGTGGCAGCCTATTCATTCTAAGAAGCAGGCAAAGGGGTTAGGCAGAGGCCAGGTCCCTCACATCGAGAGCACTGTCTTCTCTCTTGGATGCAGACCCCTTCCCTCTCTCGCTCTTCTGTAGACCATGCCCTGGTCCTCTGTGCAAACAGTGACATCTATTCCTGGCCTGTACTCCATGACTGCTATCTTCCTCCTTTCCATTTTTGGGGGCAATTTTCAGAAAGGCTGACTAGATCTGAAGGTAGAAGTCACCTTTAGCATCAATAGGCAGCTGTCCTGAGGTATACAAGGCATAAGAACACCACCTTGCCTCTGATTCATGCTCTCTAGGCTGCTGGAATACCTTTCCTTGCTTCCTTGCATTTGGCCTGTAAATTTCTATTCATCCTATAAGACCAAATCATCCATCCATCTATGATCCATCTATCCATCATCCTTCCATTTATCCATCTCCACCTATCCATGATCCATATAGCCAGCCATGATCCATCAATCCATCATGACCCACTTATCCATCTATCCATGATCCATTTATCCATCCATCTCCATTCTGTCCATCAATCCATCTATATACACCCATCCACGATCCATCTAACCAGCCATGCTCCATCAACCCATCCCTGATCCTTCATCCATTTATCCATGATTCATCTGTTCATCCATCCACTCATGATCTATCTACCCATCCATTATCCATCTATTCATTCTTTTTTTTTCTTATTAAAGTACTTCTGGCCAGAAAGTTACTATGATCTAACATTGCCACATGTGTATATCATGCACTTTGATAATTTTGCTTGTTCACTACCACCTCTCATCCACCCCTTGTACTGATCCCTTTCCTTTCCCCTTCCAATTTCACATTTTCTTAAAAATCTAGATTCTGTCTAAAAGAGAAATGTGTGCTTGTCATTTTAAGTCTGGTTTATCTCATTTAACATAGTTATCACCTATAAATGACATGCCATTTTTTAATGGGTCAATGACACTTTATCATGTATATTTATCTCTATTCATCACATTTGCTTCACCTGTTTATTCACTGATGGACTTCTGGGCTGATTCATTACCATGTGCACTGTGGATAGTGCTGTAGTAAGTATACCCATACTTACTAGTACAGAGGTACTACATGTGAGTACCTCTGCTGTATGCTGACCGAGCTGGTCAGTTTATTGTCAGCTTGTCACTAACTCTATAGTCAGTCTGGGAAGAGGGAACTTCAACTGAGAAAATGCCCCCATCAGATTAGCCTGTAGGCAAGCTGGTGCTGGCATTTTCTTGATTAATGATGGGTGTGGGAGGATCCAGCCCCATCCAGGTGGTCCCACCCCTGGGCAAGTGGTTCTGAGTTGCATAAAAAAGCAAGCTGAGAAAGCCATGAAGAGTAAGCCAGTAAACATTCCTCCATGGCCTCATCAGTTCTTGCCTTGAGTTCCTTTCCTGACTTCTCTCCATGATGGACAGTGATGGGGACATAAGAAGCCAAACAAACCCTTTCCTCCTCAGGTTGCTTTTAGTCATGGTGTTTTATCACAGCAACAGAGACCCAGCTAGGATGCTGACTCTGGTTCCTTTGGGCCCAAACCCTAAATAAGCTGCCCTAACACCTCTTTGCTGGCCCCCAAAGCTCCTTGTTTCTATGCTGGGGACACAGCCTTGCTTTTGTCACCCTGATTCTTCTTATCCATGGAGTAACAAGGAGGAAACCCCTGGTTTGTCTGTTTGCTCTGTCATGATCTAGCTCTGGCTTCACAGAGCTCTTCTTCGGGATGGGTAGTGACACACGATGCCTGTTACTCAGCAGTTCCTAGCCTCTCAGATGTTCCCTCCCTGACTTTCAAGGAGGCTGAGTCTACCATGGACTCAAGGAGAGACCATGAGCATCCTCTGCCAGGCTGGCTCTCCTCTCTCATAAATCATGTGGAGTTGGACCCGGTGGCTACTGAGACCTGTCTTATTCTGTCTCAGAGCTAGGCCCTGGACTGCATTTCAATTGCAATCATATCTCCAGTAGCTGAAGCTCAGGTGCTGAAAATGTGAATCCCTGAGCTTTCCCTACAGTTTCGTGACTATGTCTGAGTTTTAAGGCACCATGGGTGGGAATGCAGGAATGGAACCTGTACATTTAATAGCAAAGCCAACTATACCTCTGCACCTGAAGTCTAAGAACTGCTGGGCCATGGCCTAATGACTTCAGGAAGGCTGGGGCAAGCCTGGACCTTGAAGCTTAGCAGTGGTTACCTGCTGATGGCTGCCAATGTCTAGGCAGCAGACTCTAAGTGGGGCGTGTGATTTGGTTCAGGGGGGCTATGGTTCTTGTTGACTCAGTCTACTAAGTCTGGAACCAACTCTGTTATGTGTGGGTGATCCCTCCCCGATGTGACTGCTGGCTTCTGCTGCTCTCAGTGGTAGATGCTCCGGCCAAACCCTGGCCTCCCTGCACTTGGAGTTCCATTTCCCAACACAACAGCATGTGTTTTATAGCCTACTCCCAAGACTCACTTCAACACAGACAAGAAGTGTCCCAGGCACAGCTTGTGGCCAGACAAAGAGCAGGTGTTCCCCGGGTCACTTCAGCCCTGCCCAGCAGCTCTTTGGTCCACCTGGAGTTAGTGGACATTTGTCATCAGGAAACTTGGGAGCCAAACTCCCCATGGCCCTGCAAAAAGAGTCCAGCTGAGTGAGTGGCCACTGATTCTAGCCCTGCAACACAGAGCAGCCAGCTAAGCTAACCCGATTCTGACCCACTGGTCTGCAAGACAGCAGGTGAATGAGGGCTGCGGAGCCTGTGGAAGTGGAGATGGGCATTGCCATGAAACACGCCTTTGTCCCCCTCTCCTGCACCCTACCTTCACTTCCCAGATTAACAACATATAATTAGGGCTGGGGAGATGGCTCACTCTGTAACTGAGAACTTGAGTTTGATCCTTAAAATCCACATTAAAAAATAAAAGTTGGCCTGGAAGTGGTGGAGTATGCCTTCATCCCAGCACTTGGGAGGTGGAGGCAGGGAGACCTCTGTGAGTTTGAGGCCTGTCTGCTTTACAGAGGGAGTTCCAGGATAGCCAGAGCTATGCAGAGAAACCTGTCTTGAAAAACAACAAACAAACAAATAAATAAAAATAAAAGTTGAGTATGATGGGCTTGCTTGAAATCCCAGTGCTGAGGAGGAGCAGATGCATCTCTCTGGCTCACTGGCCAGCTAGCCTAGCTTGCTTGGCATGTGCCAGGCCAGTGAGACACTGGTAAAAATCAAGGTAGATGGTGCCTGAGGAACAATAGTTGAGATTATCCCTGGATTGGCACACACACCTGCACTTACACACACACACACACACACACACACACACACACACACCCACACATCCCTACATAAACACACACATACAGACACACACACCCCTACATAAGCACACACACACACACCATCAGTTTCACACAAATTCTCACCTCGAGGCTGGCTTCTAGGGAGCCCAAGAAATGAAGAAGATTCAGAGCTGGCTGTGAGGCAGAAGACACCCACATCAACAGGCAAGCCATGCAGGATCTCAAGCCTACCATGTAGAGTGGAGTACACCCCCTGCAGGAACCCCACAGATAACCTTGAGTCCCACCTCTGCTGCACCGCCTGGTTAGCTCCACGGGTATCTGCTGCCTGGCTTTCTGGTGATGCTGTCTGGATCCCTGATAGTGGGTCACTGAATTCTTGCTTCTTCCACAGCTTGTAAGTGTTGATTCTCTCACCTGGACCCACAGACATAAAGCAATCAAGGTGTGCGTTTGGAAAGTGGATTCTTCTAGGCCTGGGGTGAAGCTGGGGGCCAGGGCAAGGGCATGACACACCTGCTCTCATAGAATGTCACAGGCACCAGCACTGGGAAGGGTAGTGCAAAAGCACACATGGCCCCCCCTCAAGCCCTCTGTCAGGAGTAAGGGGAAGTGACAAGCAAGCTTCCACAGTAAGAGGCTGCCACAGAAACTTTTCAGAGTCAGAGTCACACAGCGGCGAGAAAGGCTGGGTAAGCTGAGCTCAGGCTGTGTGGGTCTTGGGATGCCAGTGTAAGCACTTTTAGGAATAGGCATCTGGCCTTGATCTCACACCCACTGCCTGCAATTCTTTATTTGCAGAGTTAACCTATCCAGAAAAATTGTGACATTTCTTCTTCTTCTTCTTCTTCTTCTTCTTCTTCTTCTTCTTCTTCTTCTTCTTCTTATTATTATTATTATTATTATTATTATTATTATTATTATTTAAAGTAAAATGATGTGTTGCTCTGGGCTGCCTGGCTGTGAGTGCTGTCTGTTGCATAATTACTACAGTGCCACCTTTTTACCTAGGAATCCATGTTTGACCACAAATGACAGACAATCCTTCTGGATGTGTCCCTCTGTTAAATAACTTAACACTCAGGGAGTAGCTTCAGGGGGACATATGGATCTGCACTTTGCTGGTGGTGAGGTGCCCAGCAGTTGCTGACCTGGCTGGGCCTGAGCAGCCACCAAGAATGGAGGGGGTTCACCAGCAGAGCTGTGAACAGGTTTCCTGCTACCTGCTCCTTAGGGAAGCAGTCCCAGAGAGAGGGCTTGCCAGTCCATAAGGGAAGCCAATGTCAAATTCCCACAGAAAATTTGAGAGCAGAAGAATGGGCTGCCAGAGCTCAGAGGACAGGAGGAGGGCTGAGTCCAACCCTAACCCCACAGATGGTAAGCAGAGGCCTAGTGTGGGGAGATATCAGGCCCTGGTACTAAGTGCCCTGCAGGGAGGTGCAAGCATCTCCTGCTAAGCAAGCTCAAATCTCTTTGACAAACTGTGATGGGGAATCTGCAGCCACTGATAGATTCCTGAGTCACGCCAGATCTCAGCTGAATCCTCCTGAATGGGGGGAGGGTGGGGCAGGTGGCAGCTGAGCCCAGCTGAGAGCAGTGACAGCCATAGAGGGTACTCCAGGACCTTCTTCCTCTCCCTCTACCTGGGGCTCAATCCCAGGCCATCCAGATGGAAAGCAGTAAAGTGTGTGAGCTGTGGTGTTCGTGCCGCTCTACAGAACCTCGTGCAGGGAGGCAGGAAGTTAGGAAAAGCTGCAGGAGCTCTGGGTGTTATTCAGTGTTGCTGTGGGGAGGGCAGCTGGCATCTACTGCTTCACAGATGTGATGGTTGGTGATTAGCTTTAGGAGTCCTGCGTCTAATATTCTCTGGGTCTCGGGAGCTCTGGTGGACATCTCTTACTCATGTTTACCATATCTCTTTGGCTACCAGGAAGCTCAAAGATGGAACAACTTCCGTTTCTCAGTAGGCCCTACAAGCATTTGTCTCAGATACTTCCCAGAATCCACTTAGACTTATTGCATTGTAGTATTGTATACACATGATCTTTCAGCACCCTTTACAAAGACTTTTGAGTCAAAAGAGGAAACACACACACACACACACACACACACACACACACACACACTCACACACACCTTAACACTAAAATTAGATTCTCCCAGGTGGGCCATACAGACTTTACTCCTGAAAAGCCATCACTGGCCCCTAGCTGGGGAGACACCTACCCTGCAGGGTCTTCAGGTGCTGCAGCACTTGCTCCTCATGGGCCTGCAAGAGCTTCCCGATACGCTGGTAATATGCCTGCACAAGGCGGCTGACACTGGTGCTGGTCACATACACACTCTCCACAACTGTCTCCACTAGCGTCCTCTGTGGTAAGAAGAAGAGACAGGGACACCTGAGAGGTCACTTGTGGAGCACCTGCCCTGCATTGTATTTCCCACTGTCTCCCAAACCCGGAGTGGCCAGGACTCAGGCAGGGTGAGCATGGCCAGTTTAAGCCAGTCATGATAACCTTACTTCCCTTGACAAGGATGATTAAGATGATGGCTTTGATCTAGTTCTGGCCAATAAGATGTGACATAAGCGAAGCCTGCTGGGGGGATTTCCTTCCTGAATATTAGCACCAAATCTTAATGGGTGAGAGATTCCATCACTTCCATTGCCCTGCCAGGCTGAACATATATCAGTGTTTGCTAGGCCACAGACACCATGGTCCTCTGCCTCAGTCAAACCTCTCTCGCCTCATGGATCACATGGGTAATCAAGGAGATACAGGATGGGCACTGGAGATGAGCCAAGACCTGGCTCCATGTTTATTTTTGCTGCTTGCTACCTACCATGCTTTCAGTGTGTCTTTTGTACAGTGAGAAGCCTGTTTCTCCATCTGAATGACGGGAAGGAGGATCCAGCCTGGGCTATGTGAAATCTAAGGAAGCAGGGTGGAGAAGCCACCTAGACGTTAGTTGTACCACACTCCCATGACCAATGTTACTATTTTGACCACTGTCATTTAGCCTTGGCAACAGAAACAGCAAGCCACTGCCAACATATCCAAGATGAGCTCTGTGGATCATGAGGCCTTCAGGGTCTGTCCACAAAGCCTCAGGGAAAGCCACACCTCTCCTCTGGGATCTGGTTTTGCTGTGCAGTGGGCAGTGGAGAGAGAAGCCAGCCAGGTGTGCCTCAGGCTGATACAGAACGAGAGTTGACAGGACACAGCTTAGGGTCTCTGTGTGTGGGCTGGGTGATTCTTGGCTGGCAAACTAGGCACATGCTGTAGGCTGGAAGCTCAAAGAGAGGCAGGGAAAATACCATTCTTCCTGCCCCTTGGTGTCAAAGGACAGGGCCTGGCTCTCACCTTGAAGTCTTCCTTGTCCCTGGTCCGGCCCTTGCTGGCCACATTCCTTGCATGAACCAGCAATGCCTGTCCAATGGCCCGCTCTGAGTGCAACTGTAGCAGCTGCCCTGCCTCCCTTGCCTCTGCAAGCAGCTGCTGCTGGAGTCGCAGGCCCGTCTGCTGTGCCTCATCTTCCAGTCTGGCTGCCTCTTCCAGTATCCGTGCCTCCTATAAGGACAGATATGCTACCCATTAGTCAGAATGGCTGTGCCTTGTGCTGGCCTGAAGGCTGGGGAAAGGAATGAGAGGGCGGGTGGGCAGATTCTAGATTTGAAAAACACTAATCCTGAGGATGAGCTTAGTTGTCTGTTCATAGTTCCCTCCCTCATCCAAAGACATTTATTGAGCACCAGCTGTGTGCTCACTGTGATCCACAGACCCTCACAAAATGAGGGCCTCATTAATTCTTGAACACTGTGAAGCCTGATTACTAAGACTAACAAGGCCAGAGAAATTTAGTAACTTTCTAAAAGACAAACAGCAGAGCCAGGATGAGATCAGACTCAAACTATGGGGACATTATAGAAGCTGTGGCTGGGCATGGTGAGGCCAGGAACAGAGAGATTGGGGGGGTGAAGAATCAGGAACTTGGGGCTGCCTCTGCTTAGTGTAGAGAGATAGGGGAACTTGAAACTGGAGGTAGAGAAGTAACCTGTTTGCTCCCTTTAAGGCAGAGCTAGACACTGAGCCTCTCTGTCATTATCAGGATGGAAGCCATCAAAACTTCTGTGGCTTATGATATCCATAAAGGAGAGCTAGGACAGCTGGTAGGGATTTAGCTCTCCTGATTGTTTTTTTTTACTTCAGCTTGTTCAAATCTTCGCAGAGCAAGAAGGGCCTCTTCCCAGTGTTCATGTGCCATCTGCCCCATCCTTTCTGAAACTTCACTTAGATTCCTGGTGGAATTCTCTCCATGTCACCATATGTATGCTCCCTCAGAGTCACTTCTGCTCCCACCTTTATCAGCTGGACCATGTACCCTCAATTTAAATTCTAATCATAAGACTTCAGTGTTGAACAGCATAGACATGGGACATGGGTGATTAATGTAGAAGGATTGTGATCTTGGGTCCCCCTCCAGGGTACCTGAGGCCCTCCTCAAAGGAGGTGAGAATCTCAATACAATACACACATAAAGATGACTATTGTGAACACACAAGAGTAGATGTGGCTGTAAGCCAAGGAACAAAGTCTGGGGAGAAGCCTGCTCTGCCCTACCATGACCTCAGCCCTCAGGCCCCCATCCTGGGGGGCAATGAGGCCCTGTGAGTTAAGACCCAACCTGTACCTCTTGTCACACTGCTCTGCAAACTCCCGGGGTGTCAGGATCCTAATGTGACAAGCAGGACTAGAACTTGTGTCTAATGGAGCACTTCTGGGCAGTGTTTTGTGGGGATCACACTGTGTTCTCACCAGGGCTCTGAGCAGCTGCCACTGATGTTCCTCCAGGCATGGGGATGCTCCCTGCTCCAGAGCCAGTTGCTCACGCAGCTCCTGCAGGAGCCTCTTTTTCCCAGACAGCCTCATCTGAGCCAGGGCAGTGATGGTGGTACCTCGGAGGGCTAGTCTGCGCATAGCAGAACACAGCAGCAGCTGGTGGCCCTGCAGGATGCCTCGTGTAGACCTGTGGGAGAGAGCAAGGCTGGTCAGAGCTCTAGGATGCCCTGGGCCAGTGAGATACTGAGGGGTCACACCTATAGGAAGAATGGGAGTCAGCCATTCCACCATCCACCTGGTGACATCCAACCAGATCCTTCACAAGTTCAGAACTACATGCAGTGGCTATGCCCTGTTTCATTTCATATGTAAATCCTGAACACATTTAAAGCCGAAACAAGCGCTTGAGTTCTCATGCCAGTGAGGCAACACGACCCAAGGCCAGCCAAAGGGGCCAATGCTTTGTTTATAATGTACATCAGACACACCTGTCCACAAGAGCCACATGTCTGTGGCCATGAGACCCGCTACCATAGTCACCCACTTCCTGTACCGAACACTGCCAAAGCCACATACCTGCTCCTGTGCCATCCACAATAGCCATACTCCTGCAATCACACCAACCCATGCTGCTGTGACCACATCTACCACAGCCACACTCCTGCCTCTGTCCCCACATCTGCTGTGGCCACACACCTAATACCTACATAACTTGGGGAAAGATGGGTAACTAAAAAAAGAATATCTGTCATTTTTTCTCCCAGAAAACAAGGAAAAATATTTTCACCAAGCAGAAAAACCATGCAGCATGAACAGCAAAACTGTGGAAAGAGAACATACAGTTGATTGATAAATAAAGAGTGACTGCAAATGTGCACAAAGGACCTCTGTGATGACAGACATTTCCAACATCTGGACTGTATGCAGTTACAGAAGTAAAACTGCAAATTTACCATACATCTGGAAATATGTGATATATATATATATATATATATATATATATATATATATATCTATCTTGTGATATATATATCTCACAAGAGCTATTCTGAAAAGTCCCTACCAAACAGAATGCTGTGAAACAGGTTTTATTAGCACCGCTTTTCAGAGAAGGAAACTGAACTCTTTATTATCAAGGGAAGGCAGGGAGCAGGCGATGCACCCACATTGCAGGTTGGCACGCTGAGGTTAGCCCAGAGCCTCACACAGACAGAGCCCATTCTTCAGGGCTCATACTCACTCTTCAGAGAGGCCAGTGAAGCGGCTCAGGACCTCATGGATGGTGCTCTCCTGGTGATCCCGCAGCTGCCTTTGCAGCACCGTGGACAGCGCACACTCCTCCAGCCACACCTGTGCTCAGAGGGACAGCAATGCATGAAGCAGCTGCAGTGGGTCCACCCCGTTTGTTTGTTTTACAAGTCTCTTTCTTTCCTGATCCTCTTAACATCTTTGCTTGTGTCCACAGTACTCCTAGGTAATTTCATATGATCAGAAGGAAGGCTTTCATCTCAACTGGCAAGACCATGCTGCAACAAGACCTCCGTCATTAACAGTCCCTTCTCAATCTCCTGAATTTTAACAGGCTGTCTCCACCAGTCTGGATACTTCAGAGCCTGTACTTAGGGTGCCACCAGATGGAGCACACGTCTTAACAGAGGCCTGCAGCTCAGCCTTCCATTCCCCCGTCTATGATTCTTTGCTTGTTCCAGCTTCCAAAGGCTGCTGTGCGCTCAGGCTCGCCAGCCCACCATTCCAACCTCTGCTCACACTGTCTACCATCCTCCCTCAACTCCAACACTGCTGCTTCTCTCCCAGTCCTTCCTGTTTCTGCAACCACAGCTCTGTACTGTCTCCTCTGCCCTCTGCTTCACTGCCTTTTACCTCATGACTTCCTGGGTGAACTTGCAGGTATGTTCACATCCTGGTCCTACCTGTGACTGTTGGGGAAGCTTGGTGGCCATGACTTTGTTTTCTTGGGGCACTGGGTGTCACCCCAGGGCCTGAGCATGCTCTGCATGCACTCTGGCACTGAGCACATCCCCAGATTTTTGAAGCAAATCTCTGTACTCTCTAAGAGGCCTTTGGGGATGCCCAGCATCTGAAAGCCCTCACCCTAAGTCTCAAATACACAGCATAGCAGAACCCAGGTGACACACCCGCCTGTCCTGTTCCAAGAGTTCACAAACGAGTTCCCACTGCCGTCTGCGAAATCGGTCCACCTGCCCCAGCTGTCTCGCTGCCTGCTCCTGGACCTGTTGCCGCAGGGCCTCACAGTCTGCCACAGGGAGACTGCTCACTTCTGGGAGAGTCTTCAGGAACAGTGTGTCCACAAACTTTTGAAAGGTTTCCATGGTGCCACAGTACAGTTCCTGAAATGAAACCACACAGGGGTCATGGGTCAGGTTCCACACCCCACGTCTAAGCCTCCAGACTTGAAACAGAGCACATGGGTCTAAGCAAGACAACAATAGGAACAAAACACACATACATAGCAGTTATCACAAGCAAACCATATGCATTCCAGAGTGGTTATAAGAAACGGACCTTAAGTAGTGGCGGCCGCTCTGCTCATGGTGTTATAAGCCATGCTTACACAAGATAAGCAAAGAGCTGCAATGATAAATAGTGTTGCTTAGTTTAAAAGGAACCAACGGAATGTTTTAGAATCCAAAAGTTCTAAGAGTTCAATGTACCATTTTAATGTACCATCATCTAGAAGCAGGTGAAGAGAGAATCAGTGCATTGGAAGGTAAAGCAGAAGAAACCCGGAACAAAGCAAGGCGGCTACAAGATGGGCACTGTGGAGAAGATGAAGGCACTAGAAAGACCAGGAGGTCCAACAGGGGTCACTGTTGTCCCCAAGGAAGGGACACAAGAGTTAGGGTAGAAGGGATATTTGGGGAAATAACCCAATTTCCCAAAAACTAATAAAAGAAATTCACAGACAAGGGCACTGGGGCAGCAGAACTGATGACACCGGTTCAATCCTGGACAGCACAGGTCAGGACGGCTGTGCTTCTTGTCTTGGCATTCTTTCTAACTCTTGAATGTGGAATGCCAAGTCCTGGTCCACTCAGGGACACTTCCTTCAGACTGACAACTGTCTCTGAGTTCACCATCACCCTGAACCTCCCTGGGCCACCCATTCTCCTCTCTGTGCTAATGACTAAGGGTTTGGTGATGGAGTCAATATGAGTTGGGACGTTCCCAGTTCCAGCTGCTGTCCCCAGGTCTCCCAGGTATTGAGTTGTCATAGTACCACTGTGAAGGAAGACTGATGCCCTATTACACAGATGGAAATACAGGGCTAGAAGGACCAGGTAGTTGAGCCGAGCCTGACCCTGAGCTGGGCACCTGAGCCACCTCTTCCAACAGTTCTGCCTAGCCCTGAGGTGTGTTATATCCTTCCTTCCCAGCAGTTTTCTTTACCCTTTTCCCATCCCTCAGTCTGGGTTTGGCCCTTCTCATCAGCATGCCCCAGGGACCCTACACCTGGGTGTCTTCATGCAGTTCTTCCTTTCTCCTCAAAGCCAGCTGTGAGGAAAAAAGGGCAGCTCTAACTTGCCAGTGCACAAATTCAAACCTCCCAGTTTCCAACATGGATTTGAAGAACTCATGACAGAGATGTGGTTGTTCTGTGGATCCTTCAGGCATCAATTAGAATTCCACCTGACCCTGCTTCTAGTGTCCCAGCCCAGAGGATAGGAGGATCAAGAGGTTCTCTCACACATGCAGAGCAGAGGTTTGCTCTGCTGTCTGGCTAAGCCACTGTAATTTTCACTGTCAACTTGACAACCTTGGAATTACCTGGGAGATACACTTACCAGTGAGTCTGTGAGGACATTTCTAGATATGCTTAACCAAAGAGGGGGATCATTCACCCTGAACACGAGCAGTCCCATTCCTTGGACAGAGATCCCAGATTGAATAAAAGGAGGCAAGCTGAGCATCAGCATGTGTGTTTCTCCGAGTCTTGACTGAAGATGCAATGTGGCCAGCTGCCTTATGCTTCTGATGTTGTGTCTCCCCCACCATAATGGACTGAGCCAGAATGAACCCTCTCTTCACTTATTTTTCTCTGGTGTTTTGCCACAGCAACAAGAACAGTAACACAATCACATACTTGACAGAGTGCAGCCATGGCCTCAGTGATCCTGATGTCCTCCTCCTCCTCCTGGTCACTCCACGTCAGTCGCTGTCTTTCCAGGACCTCATGAAAAGCCTGTAGTTAAAACAGGAACTGAATTGAGTAGAAAATTGCACTCTTTGGTTTTTCTGCAAAATTCCCCCCAGACATCTCTAATGGGAGTAATGTTCACCTCAATATAATTGTGATAAAACTGAGGCATGGAGCTGTCACATGACTCCAGTGGCTTGCAAACTGAGCCTGAGGCCAGGACTTCAAATACAACTCCCAGGAAGCCCGTCTGGGCTTCTGTTATAGTGACATGAGGAGTGTCCACCAGGCCACCCCTATTATCTCTCCTATGCCCTGTCACCAGACAACACTTCCTTTGATAGTGACCTACCATATCCAGTGGGCCTGCTTATCAAGAATAAATCATGTCTTGCCATCCAGAAGTTGGACCCTGTCTCCAGGGAGCCAACAGAACAAGCTGGGCATGGAGCAGGCCAGCAGGTTATCAGAGGTTTCTTCATAGCCAGAGGGTGGAGCAGGACACAAGGACAGAGAGTGGCTTTTCATGGTAAGGGGTAGGTACAGGGGCCATCCTATCAGAAGAAATGCCTAGATAGTCTATCAAAATGAAAGTTTTTAGGGGGGACATGGGAGCCAAGGTCATCCACGCTTGAGCAACAGCTGCCATACTGGATGCTGTAGAGTCCTCTGTCTGCCTATGGGATGGTGTGGAGTGGGGGTGAGATGACATTGGAGGGCAGGGGCTAGAAATGGGGGTACTGAAGGTGGGCAGGAGCTTGGTGTCCACTCATTTCCCCCATTCATCAATTTGTGTGTTTATTCATTCCTTCATTCACCCATGCATTCATTCACCCTTCCCCCATTATCTCTGTCCCCCGGACACCAGCCACATTTGCCTGGTATAAACTTGATCTTGGGACACAGATGCCTGTCATCTTCCCATGTTTGGGGCTCACACTGAGCAGAGAGTTATCTAAGGGTGACATAGAGCTGAGTCCTATCTTCATCTAACTGTGGTCAATCTTCTCACACAGAGTAAATCCCATCCCTTTAGGGCACATCCCTGACCCCTGGGCATGGCCCTAGCTAGAGCTCATGTGGTGCGGAAAGTGTAACAGGTCCAAGTCTGCCTGCGCTGTGTGGGCGGGTCCTTGCCTTCACTTACTTTACCAGTGATGCTCCCCACTGCACTACCCCCATGGTCCTGTGCCTGTACTGTGGGCCCAGCCTGCCCCACTGGTTCCCACCTGTTCCTTTCCTCTCCAGAAAGTTGACTCGGGCCCCCTGTCCTCTTCCTACTGAGACCCAGGGTGATTTCTATTAGGTCACCTCCCTGGTCCTGACCATTTGCCCAGCCAGAGCTGAGGGCTGCTTTACTCCCATGATTGAGGACAGTTCTGAGAAAGGCTTGGGTCTTACACACTATGTGTGCCATGAGCCATTATTTGGGTGTGCTCTCTCAGCATCCCAGCTTGAGATATGCAGCACTGGCACATGAAAGAGGAATCAGGAACACAGAGGCTGAGGGGGCTTGTCTATGGTCACGTGTCCAGTACAGGGGGGCCTGAGTTGAAGTCTGGTCTAATGGAACAGGTTCAACTTGCAAGGGCAAAGTACTGGTGATAGAGTATGAGAAGAGTCACCTTGAGGAACTCCCCTGGGTCTGAGGTCAGCTGGGAATCAGTCAGGAAACTTTTCTGCTCTTCTTCTTGGATTTGTGTGAGCTCTGATATCACCTCTGCCAGATGAGCCAGAGATGCCTGGACCAGGTCTTTGCCCCGCTGTATGAATTCTGGTATTGGAAAGAACCACAGAATAGGAGGTGACTCTCTAGCAGGGCCATGTTGACCTGATTCTGTGACCTACCAGGCAGTTCCTTCTCTGCAAGTCACAGACCTGTTTTCTTGTACAGGTCTCACTGAGGGTGACCCCCAAGGATCTTGCACTCACCTAGTCTACTTCCAGCTGGCCCTGTGGGTAGGAACAGACATGGAGAGCCTATGTAGCTTTCCTCCATCCATGCTGACCTGATTCACCCTCATTAGATAGCCCTTCAGCTGGGCTTGGCTGGGGCTGCATGTGGTTAGAACAGATCATCTGTAGGCATTTATATGTCCATCCTGGTTGACACCCTCTCCCATCCTCTGCTCCTTTGAATTCTAGATGGTCCTGCCTTGAAACTATGGTCTGGTCAGCCTGAGTCACTGAGAATAGACAATGGCTCTGATCTCACACAGACTCTGATCACTCTGCTCTACAGGGAGGGAGGCTGGGCAGCAGCAGCCCATCCCCGGGACCAGAAGGGAAGGCAGTCCTGACTTAGTGTCAGGGATATACTATTCCAGGTCTCCAACTCAGGTTCACTAGCTCACCCCTGCCAAAGCACTCTGCCTCCTCCCAGAAGGCTTTGTGCTGCTGGGTCAGAAGTTCCTCCTTCTGTCTCCCAGACAGTTGTCCCTGGATAGTCAGCCGCTCCAGGCCATGGGAGATGGCAGTTAGTCGGCACTTGGTCTCCTCCTGGATCTGGGTCCTCAGGAACTCTACCATTTTTGCCATGTGGGCTCGACCCATTGTTCTCTCCAGGGCATCCTATAGGGAGACATGTGACAGTGGCTGGTCATCAGGGTTCTGCCTTTGTGGAGGAGGTAGTGGGCTCCAATTCCACACTCCACTCCAAACACAGTGAACTCCCTCTCTCTCCATATGCATCTTAGGCAGGGATGGAAGCCTCTCCATGCCTTCAGAGTTTGGAATAAGCCACTGGACACTTAGAACTAATATGCCTGCTTCTCTAGGGGCTACTTCAGAGCCCAGTTCTCTCCTGGTCCCAAACCCTTCAACTATTGTCCTCTAGCCAAGCCCAGATTCTGGGACTGTGTCTCCCACATCTCTCTGCTCCTGGGTGTCATCCTAATCCTGACCACCGAATGGGAATCTGCCAGAGCCCAAGCATCAGTCTTTACAGCTCCCCGGAAGTATCTATGTGCAGCCATCATTGAGAACCCTGATCTGATCAGCACCTCCACCATGCGATGGTAGGTGATGGATGGGTGAGTGTAAAAACAGGCTGATGGCTGGAGAGATGGCTCAGCAGTTAAGAGCATGTACAGTGTAGGAAGCCGGTTCCTGCATTATAATGCTGCCTGAAGACACCAAGGTGTGAATTACTTCACAGGCGCTGGGTAATCTCCATTCCTTTGATCTCTGCCTATCCCGTGGCTCATTTTTGCCTGAGGAGCTGAAGCCATTCATAGGGTAATACGTCCCAGGCGGCTGGTCAGCCTTTTATATAGGGATGGTTTTCTTAGTTCAATGTCTCTGCTTAGTCTCTGCT